AAACACCCCCCCTCCCCAAAAAAAGGGGGGGTAATTTGAGCGGCGTAGGGAGGATGGGGGTAGTTAGAGCGGAGGGATCCCAAGGGAGAGCGGGATTTGGGGGGACGTGGTGAAGGGGGGGCGGGTGGCAGATCCTGGAGAGACCGGGGGGTCCTGGGGGCACCACAGAAGTTAAAGTGGGGGGAGCGGAGCAGGAGGCTGGACCTGGGGGCTGGGGGGGGCGGCAGAGGCTCTGCAGGGATTTGGGAGCTGGGGGGGGCACTAGCAGCACAGGGGGCTGCAAGGGACCTTGTGCCCCCCCCCCAGGATGAGCCTCTTGTTTTGGGCTAGGGTGCTGCATAGAGCCCCGGGGGGGGAAGCCCCTCCCCAAGTTGACCCCCCCCCCCCCCCGGGAACCACACTTGTTCCCATCTCTGTTCTGTTCCCATTTGCCCCCACGCAGAGGAGCGGGGCTGGGCCCTGTGGGCCCCCCCCGCCAGGTTCCCTATCCCAAATCCAGCTGGAGCCTCAGGACTCCTGGCTCCGCACGAGGCCCGGGACGTCCTGGGATGTCGGGAACAGGCTGATGCTGCAGCCGCTGTTTGCGGGGGGGCACCCGGGGGCTTTTTGCGCGGTCGGAATGCTGCTCCCGGAGCTGCTGCCCCTCCGGCGTGACCTTGGGAGCTGAGCACAGTCCCGCCGCTCCGTCCCGCACAGCGGCAGGAAAAGCCGCTTTCCCGGGAAATGAGGGGATTCTTTGGGAGCCGCTGGCCGGGGCCATCACTGACACGGGCGGGGGGCTCCGAGGTGCTGGGTTTATTTGGGATAAATGCCCGGGGACCCCTGGGAGGCGGGAAGTGAAGGCAGGATACCCTGCTCCAACGGACTCTCTTTTCCCCCCATATTTTCCAAGTGATTTTTTTTTTTTTTTTTTTTTTCCTGGAAGAGCTCTGCGCGGCTCCGTGCAGATCTGGCACCTTCCTGCTCCCTGCTCTGGCCACAACAGCAAACGCTTTGCGGGAGCCCCAGGAAGGTGCCCTGGGAAGGAGCCCTGGTGCCTCCCTCGAGCTCGGGCTCTCGGAGCGCCCCGTCCGTTCCCAGCGGCTCCGGGGAGACTCGGGACCAAAGGGCTGCAGAGCGGCCTGAGCTCCAGGCAGCTCCGCCTCGCGGACGGCCTTTGCATGGCCAAACAGCGCCGGGATGAGCCGGCCGGGAAGAGCCTCCGCGGAGGCTCCGTTGGCTCCGCCGCAGGGCTTTCCCTGCCCGGAGCCAGCCGCGGGCGCCCACTGGCACGTGCCGGCACTCGGATCGGCTGCTCGATCCGTTGGATAAACTTTGTTATCGCTGCYCCAGCTGGCGACCGGGCACCAGGAGCTGGAGTCGCTCCCAGCCGCGTTTCCTGGTCTCACCTTTTTCCAGGAGGGAAGCGCGTGTGTTAAAAAGTTTTCCAACCTTTTTCCCTGATCTCTAGAACTGGAAATACGAGGGGAAAAGGAGCTGCTCGTGGGGTCCCATGGCCACGCTGGGTATCCCCTTCCTTCCGCCCGGGGCAGGAACCTCTGGGAATTTCCCCGTGGCTTCCCACTGCTCCGCGCATAAACCGCTGCTGTTGATCCCAGCTCTGTTTTGGGGAGAAAAATCCTTGTGTTAGCGGCGGCTTGGAGAGTTTCTCCGCTTCGCTGGTGCCTGTGGTGCGTTACRAGCTCCCCACCTGCCATCTTTCCAAGAGAATTAAGCCGGGATAACGATAGGGAGTAATTAGCAAGCTGGAACCGCGGCCGGAGCGGCCCCTGTGTCTCAGGAGCCTCCTAGGRCTTCGCACCTGCGGCAAGTTTGTTCCAACTTAGATTTCCACCCACTGGGGATGCAAGTGGCTGCATCTCTGACTCATCAACACTCGTAATTAACACGGCAATTATATTCGCAGTAAGGCTCAGAGCAGCTTAAATTATCCGCGCCTCTTTATTTTTTGCCTCCTTTTTCTTCTTTTTCTTTAATATTATTATTATTTTGTGCATTTCGTTTCCTTGTCACCATCTGTTGCGAAATGGCTGTCGTCTTGTCGCGTTGCACTTAACACCACCATCTGGCCAAATTATTTGTCCCATTAAAAAAAAAAAAAAGGAAAGAAACGTGCGAAGAAGCGAAATGTAAGAGTGCCGTGCTGGGGACGACTCCCGAACCAACTCGCGCTGATTGGGCTCCTTGCACGGCCGAGGGGGGCAAATCCTCCCCGTTCTCCTCCTCCATGTGGAATTTGTGGCTTTCCCTGCGGGCTCCGGGCTCATCCCGGCCTGGCAGCGCTCGGAGCGCGGCTGTTTTGCCCTCTCCGGCCTCGCACCGCTCTGGGTTTGGAGCGAGGCTCGGCTGTTTGCTGGGGATGCGTTCCTGTGGATAAAAATGAGGGCTCCCAACATCCACAGGCGCTGGGTATTGAGGAACGTGAATATAGACATTAAGCTGGAGTCAGGGCAGGGTTGTGGGGCAGGAAGGGAAAACGGGAAAAGTAACTCGCAGGGAGGAGGGCGCTTGGTAGCTGGGCTGTCCTGCTTGGACTCCTGGTGCTCCGCGTTGCGCCTGGGATGCCCCTGGGCGGGAGGAGCCGCTCCAGGTGCGCCTGGCACTGCCACAGTTTTGCTTTCCTTTCCCTGCAGCTGCCACCAGTTTTGCTTTCCTTTCCCTGCAGCTGCCCGAGGGAAGTCGGAGTGGCGCATCCGACGAGCGGGAGCAGCGAGAGACCCGTCGCCCTCCGGGAGCCTCCTGCAACCCGGAGCAAACAGTGAGTACGGGGTGTCCCGGCCCCACGTTCCTCGCGGAGTGCTGCCCACCTGGGGGTTTTGCCTTTTCTGAAAACAAACCCCAGCCACTCGGCTGCCCCTAGAGAAAGTGCGAGAGCTCCTCCTGCCACGGGAGAGATTTTCCTTAGCTCATTCACTCCTCCTGCATCCAGACGTTTGCGCCCTGGCATTCCTGTTCTTTCCCTCCATCTGCCCCATGCTGGTGGAGCTGATATCCCTTCCTTGCCGTGCTCCGGCTGTCGGAGAGCTCATTAACTTTTCATACAGCCGCGTGCCTGTCCAAGCCGCTCACTCGTCCCTCACTCTGCTCTCCATTGTGCTGGAATAAATAGTTAATTAAGCAGCGCGCTGGCATCCCGAGGTGTCCGTGTGCTTGGAAACTGAGGCCAGGTTGGCAAACCCRCAGGCACAACCAGGCATGAGTCACGGGCTGCTCCCAATGTCTTTGTTTAATCTCACAACGAGACTAAAAGTTCCCGGCTCGCCGTGGCCAGCAGCGCAGATCAGGGGATCTGCTGGTCCAGGCCAGCGGACTTTGGGATCCGCTTGAGCCTTGCGGGCGAGCCCAGCAGATGGGAAGCGAGTGGGATGCAGCCCTGCCCGGGTGTCCAGCGTGGCCCCGGCCCTGCCTCGTTTGGGACCCTGAGCATCGTTTTGCTGCACGTGAAAACTAACAAGTGGCATTTACCAAACACAGCCAAAGAGAAGTGGCTGCTCAGCCCCTGTTGAGCTTGAAATGAGAATCCGAGCTCTTAATTCAATTTAGGCCCCTTTGGATCAACAGGATCCGAATAACTATGGTTGCTAATTGCACATGGATGCCAGGCCCTGCTAAGGATACGCTCCGCAGCCTCAGCGGGCGCCTGGTGACTTCCGAGATGCAGAACACAGCCAGCATCATTAAGGGGCTCATAAAGTGCAGCCGAAGGGATGTTTTCCCTGTCCCTGGAAGCGCCTGCACGGGAAGTGCCTAGTTGGCTATGCCGAGGCAGTGCCTTGTGGCAGAGCTGGCCTGCGAGGGACGTCCAGGCCCTCCARCCATGACAAATTAATACAGCTTTGCAGGGAGAAATTCCCTTTCAGCTAGCGGCCCCTGGGAGATGGTCTCTTTCCCATGCTCTGAGCGCGGAGCAGGGATTGCGGATTCACAGAGCTCAGCGAGARCCAGGCCGGCCCCTCTGGAGGGGACAGGGAGGCAGGAGGAGGCCTCGGACAGGGATAATCCCTCTGGTCGGTGCCCAGCTGCGCAGACAAGGGCACCTTCGCCCGTGCGTCAAGCGATTCTGAATGTCACCCGGGCTGGCTGGTTAAATGCATCCCAGAGACATTGCTAATAAAAAATTCATAAGCCTCTTATAAAGGCAATTACGCTTCTGTAAGGCAGCAAGGGGACCATACGTGACCAAATGAGTTAATGAAGGATGTTAAAAGAGGCAGAGCGGCCTTGCAACAGGTGGACCTGGTCCTTTCCCTTCCTCAAAGCCCCATCTTGTCCACCTGGGAATTTTAGCCTAGTCGAACAGCCCTGTCAAATCCGGTCTCCTTGGGAAGAGCAGATTGATCTCTGGCCTCCCGCATTCGGGGACTTGCGGCGGCTCTGTTGTGAGTCTGGGGATCTGCTTGGTGCTTCAAATGGGAGCGTTTTCCCATGGATGTGCCTCAATTCTAGGGATTCTCCAGGAGTGCAGTGGGGACTGAGTCCTGCTCTGTCGTGGGACAGTGGGAGAGGAGCAGGGACAAGGTTTGGTCCTTGACTTAACCGTGTCCTTGCTTTGCCCTGGGGCTATTTGGCACAGCTACAAGGCACCCACCTTTTGTGTCCTGCTGAGGGCAAAGGAGGTGCTGGAGAGCACCGGAGCGGGGMGAGGTGGATCCCAGGGCCGGAGAGGAGCGCGTGCCCTGCTCCCGGTCAAACCCAACTCAGTGACGAGCCCTCCGTGTCCTTGCAGCATGTGGGAAGCCTGAGCCGGCTCGCCGTGCCCTGCGCAGCCGCCGTGCCGGGGACGCCATGGACACCGAGGCCGTGCAGCCGCAGGAGGCCTCGCTGACCGTCAACGAGCAGGTAGGGCCGGCGGGACGAGCTGCTCCAGCTCTTTGCACCCTCAAAGGAGCAGGTTGGGAGGGCTCTGAGGAGGTTCCGAGGGGGCCCGAGTTGCGCTGCATGCACAGCCAGGGCTCCCTTGGGTGCAAACAGCCGCACGCTCCTAAGCAGCAGGTTCCCCCCTGCGTTGGGGCTTCAGAAACTCGGCTGTCTGGTGGAGATGCCGCTCCTGGCTGCAGGTCATGCTCTGGCATCTCCCGGGGGTTCCCAGCCCGCATTTGACCTGTCTTGCTCTATCTGGAGGCCTCGGAGCGCAGCATGTGTTTCCTTTTTCCCCAGAAACTGCCTGCCAGAGGAGCAGGCATCTCTGCTCTTAACTCCCTTTCCATGCGTCCTGGTGCAACATTCCCAGTGGCAGGGAAAACTSTCCCTGGGAGGGCTCATGCAGCTCACACCTACGGGGTCATAAATGAGTGTTGAGTCTAGAGCTGCTGCCCCGGTTTGCAGGGATTTTGGCTGGCGTGGGGGTGCCAGCTTTGCCGTGGGCTCTCAAGACCAGGTCTTGCTGCTGGAAACGTGACCCGCTGCTGCACGCGGGGTCGGGATTAATTAGGGAGAACCCTGAAAGGGCTGCTGACCCCCAGCAGGGAGACCCTGCTGGGGTGAGGGCTCTGTGCCCATCTGGCTTTGGTCCTTGCAGATGTCCCTTCCCRTGGGGACAGGGTGGGTGCTGGTCACAAGGGTGACGTTAGAACAGGGGACAGTGAGGCCGGGAAGCTGATGGACRTGTTGGGGTGCATCGCAGGTCATCGTGATGTCCGGCCACGAGACCATCCGCGTGCTGGAGGTCGGCGTGGACACCCCGCTCCCGGCCGAGGAGGCCCGGAAAGCCTTGGAGATGCCGGCCAGGGAGACGGCTCGGGGCTCGCCGGGCGGAGCGGCCGAGCCGGCCGCGGAGGACGTCCCGGCCGGCGCCGAGACCTCGGGCGGCGCGGCCGCGGCCGGTGAGACGCTTCCTTCCCGGCCTCCTTCCCCGCTGCCCCCATGCGAGCGCTGCACGGAGATGGGAGGAGGACCCCATCCTCCTTTGGGGTTCAGCTTGAGTGCCACTTGCCTCTCCCTAGCTGGGCAGCTTACACAGCTCTTGTCCCTTTGCCCCCCAAAACCCACAAAAGCCTTTTCAGATCCTTCCTAAGCCAAGGAGGCCAATGACCCTCTGGCTGCAGGGCGCTCCGGTGCTGCCTGCCCGCGGGCTGTGCCAAAAGCTGTGAGCAGTGCCAGTCCGTGCCCAGGAACACAGTCTTCCCTGGGGGCAGCACAGATATAACAGGGCACAGGGGAAACGCCTCCTAGTTCCTTTTTTTTAAGGCTTTTTCCAGTTTCACAGACCTCAGGTTATTTTGTGGGCTGGGAACCAAAGCTGAGAAGTGACTGGCTTTGAGATGAGAGAAATATTAGTTTGGTAAAACTTTTCTGTCAAAGGAGAAGATTGGGGGGGGGTTACTATTATTGTTATTTTTATTTTTCCCCTTCTCCTTTTTACCAAAATAGAAGAAGATTAAGAGGATTTTATTCTCGAGGGTAACCACAATTGGAAGTTGGGCAGAATAAATACAAGAGGTCGCCCAAACAACAACCAGGTCTTTTGAGAGCAATAAATATGGATTAGGAGCAAGGTTTCCCACGATTTGATGGTTAATGATACTCAACAGTTTCAATACATTTTGCGAGGCTGGGCCAGAAGATTGAAAAATCATGAATGCAAATTTTAGGGAGAAACTTTTAGCAGAAGAATGCAAGATTCCACCTGTGCGGTAAATCCTGCAAGATCGGTAAAAACCCATTTTCTTTTGCTTTGTTCTTAGTTTGATATTAACCTCTTGGCTTGTGGTTAGTAGTTTTATTTGGCATGCAGCTATATTTCAGTCCGGGCAGGAAACCCGTATTTTATTTAAAAATCCAAGGCCCCAAAACTAAGAAAAACCACCTGAAAACACAGAGTGACTGTAAAATGTYACCTCCTGCAGACAGGCAGCTCCTGTTTTCCCCCAAACGGAGGAAGTCAAGCTGAGCTCAGTTCATTTGTGTGTGAGAGAGTCCAGGGGTGTGAAGCGCCCGGACGCCGTGGGGACACCGAGCCCCTGTCCCGCATGGGTGGGCTGAGGCACTGGGGTCCCGCTGTCCTGCCCTTCCGTGCCAGCCCCGGCGCAGGATTTGGGCTGGACTGGCGCGTTTGATGCCCTCTCCCCCAGGGAATTGATGCCCTCACCCCGGGGAGTTGATGCCCTCACCCCGGGGCGGGGGGTGATGATCCCCTCGGGGCCGGCACCGCTCTCAATCTCCTCTCCTTCCCCAGGCACAACCAGGGCAGCGCC